GGCCAGCTATCCAGTGCGTTGTGATTGGCCGAATTCCTCAAGCATGTGACGGAAATATTACGCCCCTTACCATACTGTGATGCCATCTCCCGGCACGACGAGACAAAACCGATAAAAGCCAGGTAACACTTCAAAGAGAAAGGACAAATTGAAATCGCATCATATGACCCCTTTAAAGACATCTTGAGGAATGCTGCCTCCCTGTGGTGAATTTATGTTTTTCTAACCAACATTTTTATTCAAAGTAACTTAAAATGAAATACAGTTAGAATCAATACAATCAGATACTAAAGCAGTAACAACAATACACTTAATGTTATCAGATTTCTGCAAACACCGGAGTACTACCTTGTAGACATGCTTCCAGGGGAGGTGTGTTGTTTTGGACATTGCAGTGATTTGAGATTAAAAGATTAGGATATTAGTAACAAGCCTTTTTGAATTAAATTGAATTTAAATCAGTTTAAATTGATAATGCTTATAAATCCAAAATGTATTTGTGTCTGTCTTGTTTACCAGCTTTGTAATACAAATTCTTTATAACAGATGTCATGATAAAGACACCCTCCGTCTGTATACACAGATTTATGGTTTGTCAAGAGAAATAGAAAGACATTTTAAGTTTAAATATATTAATAATAACACCAGTTAAAATATGTGACAATAAGAAGACAAAATGAAACACTAAACATTGTAATATTTCCAAACTTGTGAATGCTCAGTTGCTCACACATATATAGTTTTTGTATGAGTGTTGAGTGTGTTTTAGTCACTGTGGGCTTCAGAGCACAGTAGTACACAGCAGAGTCAGACACACACAGATTCTTGATTGTCAGTGGAACTGATTTGGCTTGTGTGTTCAGACTTGCATTAAATCTTTTCTTGAACTCTTCCTCATTATTTCCATAAGTAGCAACTCTGTTCAGCATGTATTTTGGGAATCAATTTACTTGTTTCTGGTACCAGAAGAGAGTAGGGGTTGGATCAGTGGTTGTATATGAACAATTAATTATTACAGCTGCACCTTCATCTGCTGTTTGAACTCTCATATTCTGGCTGACGGCATCCTCAGATTTACACCCTGGAATTTAGAAAAACATTTACAAGTTGAATTCATTCTCAAATTTAAATGGAAGGAATTATGTTTAAGAATCTACTTACCGAAGAAATATGAGATAAACAACATTAAATATTTTTTCCAGTGTGTCATCATCAGAATAGGTATCCTATGCTGAAGTAAATTAAATCAAATTGAATGAACACATCTAGAAGAGCAGTTCTGACCCCTTGTTGCTTCAGTCTTTCTTTGCTAAAGTTACACTGAACACATTTACAAACACCTGGAGGAGGAGCCTGACTAAACCACTGTATATAGATAGCTTGATTGAAGAGTTTGTTATTCATTTTGAAACTTAAGGCTCATAGTATTGTAGAGTAATTTGCTTTAATTTTGAATGAATATGACATTTTAGTATTCTCTCATTTTTTTTTAGTTGTAAGCGAAAATGCATAGTAATACAGATAAAAGAAAATCAGGTATAAAGTCAGTATATTAATTTTGTCATACATAACTCTTAACAAACCCTATGCAGTTTCTTTAATGCAACATGAAGTACTTGTTATATTGCCTATTTCTGATAATTACTTTAATAATAAAAATAAATGTATAATTTGTCATCATCTACTCACCCTCACATCATTGTTTCTATCTTCTGTAGAAAACAATGAGTATATTTGAACAAATAGTATATAACAAAATTATTATAACAAAAAGTATATTTTGAGAAATCTCTCTGTGTTTTTTGTCCATACAGTGGAAGTCATTTCTTGGTTGCAATTCAATCTTTTGTTACCAGCATTTTTCAAACTATTTTATTTTGTGTTCTGCATAAGAAAGTAATACAGGTAGGATAAGATGAGGGTGAGTAAATAATTGCTGATTTTTTATTTTTTGGTGAACTGTCCCTTTAAGGTTATAGATTTTATGTGGTGTTTGTGACTTTATTATGATGACAGGAGTGGATTGTGGTAGATCTCAGTTTTTTTTTTGTATGAGTGTTGAGTGTGTTTCAGTCACTGTGGGCTGCAGAGAAATGATGACAGAATTTTTTTTTTTTTTTGGTGAACTGTCCCTTTAAGATCATGGTTATGGATTTTATACAGTGTTTGTGAATATATTTGATAACAGGAGTGGTTTGTTGTAGATTTCAGTGTTTTTGTATCAGTGTTGAGTGTGTTTCAGTCACTGTGGGCTGCAGAGCACAGTAGTACACAGCAGAGTCAGACACACGCACATCCTCGATCATCAGTGGAACTGTTGTTGATTTTGAGTTTAGTGCTGCAGAAAATCTGTCCTTAAATTCATCCTCAGTAGTTCCTTTACCAAAACTAAATACACTCAGCATGAATGCTGGTGATCTGTTTGGTAGCTGTTTGTACCAGTAAATATATACATTTGTAGCACTGGTAGAATAATTGCACTGTAGAGTAACTGGATCTCCTTTATTTGCAGTCATTTCTCCAGAAGGCTGTTCAACTCTGTCTTGCCCCCAGCACACTGGAAAATAGATTTAACTATTTATAATTTACATAACTAAAACAGATACTAAAGTATAAATAATCTTTCTTACCAAAGTCCTGTGCTGAGAAGAAAAGCATAATAATCATCAGTTTTTCCATTGTTGAAATGAAATTAATATTTTGGTGTGTGCTCTAATGAATGTGTCTCTGTCTTTACTGTAGCTCTCTGTTTCCTCTCTGCTGATATACTCTCTTGATATTTCAAGTCTTCAAGTAGGTCTAAATCCTCCCGTAGCACACTGTTGACTTGACTTGACAGCTCTTTTGGGGTTTGCCCTCCAGTGGTGAATTTATGTATTTCTAACACACATAGGCACACTAGGTTTACATTTTGTAGCAGTGGACATACAGAGGACACGCTTCTTGACATAAAGCCTTTTTTTTTATATATATATATATAATTGCCTTTACCATCCAGAAACTTTTCAAAGTTTATCTACGTTGATGATTTGTTTGATCAGATTTCTGCAGCCTTCTTTCAGTTCTTGACATTTGCAGCCTTTATTATAAATTTGAGAGATCCTGCCACCTTGTGGCCACATTTACTGATTTACACTGTGAAATTAATTTCATTTAGATATTGATAATATCTGAAATATTTGCATATTTGCTTAAAAACCTAGAATGATCCTTTTTCAAGTCAAGACCAGACTTTTCATAATACGAATGTTGATATTAATGTAGACTATTTTTTTTCTTTGCTCAGTTATGTAGTTTGTGAGTTCACAAGTGTCATAATCTTCTGTTGTACATTGTTTCTCTTTTACATCTTTGTTTCCACCTTTTATTAAACATTACATAGGCCTACCTGAATAAAATTTCTTATCACACTCAAATGCAGGTGTTTCCACATGATTTATTAAGTTCTGTGTATCAGATTGTGGTTCAGTTTCAAAGTGAAAAATGAATTTGAGATTTTGTACAGCTTCACATAGACTTTGTATCACTGGGCTCCAACTCTTAGAGGAGCATAATAATAGAGAGCTGAATCTGACAGAGTTACACCAGTAATAGTGAGTTCAGTAGATGTTTCTGATGTAGTCGAATGAAAACGAGGTTCAGCTGGGCTCCCAGTACCACTCCATGAACGAGCATATTTCCATATTAAATACTGAGGTTCTGTATTAGGATACTTTCTGTACCATAAAAGTACAACTTATCTGCTGCTTGTATCATATGAGCAGCTCAGTGTCAGACTCTTCTTCTGTACTGAAGACATTTGCACTCTTGTTTGGCCCAATCTGGTCTGCAGCCATTCCACCTGCAAACATAAACTTAAAATTAAAATTTGGTAAAAATTTGTGTAAATTCAGTCACATTACACTTAATGATCTATTTTTCTTAACATTGGTATGAAAGAGTATTTTACCTGAAGTCATGATTACAGTTAGTACCTAGTGTCTGTCCATGTTTTCTAAGTCAGATCAGTTCTGTTGATGCTGTGTTCTGTGTTGTAGGTTGTGGTGATGATTGTGATGCTCTGAGTTTCTGCAGTTACTCAGGATCTGAGTCATACAGTCTCTCAGGAACTTCCTGCTCTCTGTTGATGATGACAACAACATATAGAAACAACATATGTGACCCTGGACCACAAATCCAGTCTTAAGTGTACATTTTTCAAAATTGAGATTTATACATCATATGAAAGCTGATAAATAAGCTTTCCATTGATTTATGGTTTGTAAGGATAGGACAATATTTGGCCGAGATACAACTATTTGAAATTCTGGAATCTGAGGGTGCAAAGAAAAGCAATGTATATTACTAATCAAAAATTAAGTTTTGATATATTTATGGTAGGAAATTTACAAAATATCTTCATGGAACATGATCTTTACTTAATACCCTTGTGATTTTTGGCATAAAAGAAAAATCAATAATTTTGACCCATACAATGTATTTTTGGCTATTGCTACAAATATACCCCAGCGACTTAAGACTGGTTTTGTGGTCCAGGGTCACATATAGAAAACAAAAAAAAAACAAAACAGAAAACAACATATAGAAACGAAACCAAGTATTTGCAGAGTAGCAAATCAGTCTCACCAAGAACAATTGTGAATATTGGAATAATATTCAACCAGACTCATTTTGGTTGTATAGATAATAAATGAATGAATGAGGTAGAGAAAAACATATGTGAATGAGAGATCTGTTATTTAAAGCAAGTAAATAGAAATGGAGTAATTAATGACCCTGTACAGTAATTATCTTATTATATATTCATTTTCACTTGTCGTTATATCTAATTTTAAACATGAGTCTTTGAGAACCTAAGTCTGATGGAGTCCAATCAGTGCCTGAGTTAGCCATTTAAGAATGTGATTCTCTCAATTGTTATATGCTCCAGTCTGTTTAGTCTGATTTGTAGAAAGTATAGTTATGCTTTTTCGCGTGTCAGGTTTTTGTACAGTGTTCTTGTGTTTCCTGTCACTGTGGGCCTCAGAGCACAGTAGTACACAGCAGAGTCAGACACACACAGATTCTTGATCATCAGTGGGACTGTTTTTGATGTTGAATTCAGTGTTGCAGAAAATCTCTTCTTAAAATCTGGCTCAGTAGTTCCCTCACCAAAAGTTAATTTATTTAGAATGAATGTTGGTGATCTGTTTGGTAGCTTTTGGTACCAGAAGAGGTATGGGTTTGTATCAGTGGTAATATATTTACACCATACAATAACTTGAGCTCCTTCACTCGCAGTCATTTCTTCTGAAGACTGTTCAACTCTGTCCTGTCCCGAAGAAACTGGGGAACAATAGACAGAAAAAGTAAATGATTAACATGAATCATTAGGAAAGCAAGTGAACACATTTAGTATCCTATATTTAAGTAAACCATTTTCTGTTAAAAATGCAGAAACAAAATTTTGCTTACCATCATAATGGGCTATGAAGCACAGAGAAATCAAAGTCCATGTAAACATAGTTGATCTATGAACAAACATTCACTCAACTGTGCGCTTTCAAAAGCTCTGTGTCATAGAGCTCTTCTTTAAATGTTTGTATCATGTCACATGATATACTCAGACATGGAGGGAGCGATGCTGACCCCTTGTGGAGGAAGTTTGAAATTGCTAAACATAATGTTATTTTGCAAACCCTGAACAATTCTTTATAAAGGTATGATTGGTATAAATGGTGTTTTTGAACAAATGCTTGATCACCACTATACTTATGTTATATATCTGAATGTTTTAAAGCAATTTACTCACTTATTTCGAGAATAACTGAATAAAGTATCATTGTATGTACTGTACGCTTACAGTCTGAGGTTCAACAATCTTATGACACAGTGTCTGTCAGGTTCTGCTAAATACTCTCAGATATAAACCACTCTTTCCTCACCACCTGGCAAATACATCTAGAGTTGTTTTATCATCTTTTTTAAACATGGTTGCTTTATAAAATGTTATAAAGTCCCAGAGAAGCATCTTTTAAGTGAATCTTTGTGTGTCCCCTTTTCTGTATTCTGTTATAACATTTTATATTGTGAATGATATAATACTGCTTTTTGCTGATTAAAAGAGTGTTTCCTTGTTTTAACTAGCAGATATGGAGGTTGGATATGTGTCATGTAGATGCAATAGTGTGTATCAGGTTTTTGTACAGTGTTCTTGTGTTTCCTGTCACTGTGGGCTCCAGAGCACAGTAGTACAGAGCAGAGTCTGATATAGATGCAGAGGAGATCTCCAGATCCACAAGGTTTTCTTTGTCTTTGGTGACTTTGGCAGTGAATCTGGAATCTACATTAGACTCCTCAGCTTGTTTTGATCTGTCTGAGATGAGCACAATGAACTCAGGAGCTGATCCGGGATACTGACGGTACCAGTAGAGAGTTAATGCAGATAAATAACTGCAGGATAATTTAACACTTGAACCCTCATCAGCAAACTCCAAAGTTTTGGTAGGTTTAATTTCATTTCCATGTGCTGCATCTGAAAAACAAATCAAATCTTTTAAGAACAGGTGTTTATATTGAATCTTTAATCAGTTAATGATTATCCATTCTGGCTGCTCATAATATTTAGTTTCAAAACACAAAACACTTACACAATACTTACATGCAAAGGCAGAAATTAGAATGACAGAATGGAGCATCATTGTGTGTGTTTCTTATTCTCTCTCTACAGACTTGAAGTTAAAGATCACATCAGGTATCAGTGCTTTAAACCCCACCTCTTCCAGAGAGCTCTTAAGAGAGAGCAGATCTGATCAGATATGTTTCATATACCATTGAGTCATTTGATTACTATTCATATCCTATTGTAACATCTTGTGGTTACTTACTAACTCTGTCATATGATATAAATCCTCAGAACACAAGAACGCTAGATTATTCCTCATACTTTAATTGTTACAATACTTTAGATCTCATAAGGTTTATGACATTCACTATGCACAGCACTATGTAATTTATAATGTTTACATTCAATTTCATTTTTATTTATTTATGCTTGTTATTGTTGTGGGACAGAGGTAAATAGCATGTGGATTTGCACCTCATCATATAATTAAACACTTCCTCTGTTTTTGTGTGAGTGTTGAGTGTGTTTCAGTCACTGTGGGCCTCAGCGCACAGTAGTACACAGCAGAGTCAGACACACGCAGATTCTTGATTGTCAGTGGAACTGAATCTGATGACACTTCAGAGTCAAATCTCTCCTGGAACTGAGCATCATTATCTTTTGCTCCAAATTTGTTTCTCCACAGAATGTATTTTGGAAAGTCATTTGCTCTGTGAATGTACCAGAAGAGTTCTGGTTGTGATGAAGTTGTTTTATATTTGCATTGTAACATTACTGATCTTCCTTCAAATTCAGCTATGTTTTTATCTGGCTGATCAACAAGCTCGTCTCCATGACACTCTGTAAAAACATGAAAACATGTTAGGATAAAACTTTTTTAAAAATTTAACCTAAGGGTATAAAACTCTTTGAAGCAATTAAGAAATGACAAATTCCCCCACTTACCATGATAAACTGATGCAAAAATGAATAATTTAAACAACCTATGAGTTATCATTTTGTATCATGTGTTGACTGTAACAGGAGAAAAAGATAAATCAGCCATGTCAGTAAGAAATTGGATGGTTTATAGCAGGGGAGGAGAGTTTAAACATAAAAAAGGAAATACAAATATGATTTTAAGTGGTGTGTGTGAATACTGCCCTCTTCAGGATATTATTGCAAAAAGATTTTTATAATCATGTTGTTTTGTTTGTTTATTTGTTTGTTTTATTCATTGTTCCTGTAGCATTTGACAGAGAAAAGTCTCACTATGTTACAGTGACTATGTTTCCAGTGTCATCATTTAAGTTATTGAGAATTTTACCCTTTTGACACTTAAACATGCATGATTATACCTAAGACATTCTGTACATTTGTACAATGCAAAGTGACAGGAATATGGTTAAATTATCCATTATCATAGTGTGTATCAGAATTAACATATAGGTAATGTAGGGAATAGAAAATTTAGTTTTACACAAGTCAGATTTACATTTGTTCAAAGATGTGAAAGATGCATTTTTTCTTAATGTGTTTATAGCACAGAATCTGTTATTTTAGCAGGAAAGATCTCCAGGCTCACAATATTTGGCTATTATTAATAGGTAAAATACAAGGAAAAAGAGGTGGCATTGACCCTCCTTGTGGTTAAATAAAAAACAGGAGCTCTGGATCCCGGATACTGACAATGCCAGCGCACGTTAATCATATTTATTTACAGATGAGGTAGATGTTTGTAAGGATGAAATAAACTCTTCGAGACACCCCACAGAGTGGAGGTGCAGGAAACGGCTCTCTCACATATGCATCAGTTCCTTCTCATCCCCTTCCTTCCCCTTACCCATCCTCCCTCCACTTGGTTCAGAATGGTCAATCAATAGTATAAAGTTCTACATGAATGCAAATAATATTTACAGTCATGTTTGGTATCATTTGAATTGTCTCAGGGCGAGTGGTACAATGGTCTCAATCTTACAAAAGTAGACTAAAAGATAATACAGATCCTAAGAGTTAAGAGATATTTTGATTACTGTAGAGGGTGTCATTCCATGCAAATTACCTTCTGTTCCCGTTGAGGTGTAAACCACCCAGGTCTGGGACCTGGGTTAATGCAAATTCCAATTGTTTGTACATGCCTCCATTTGGGGGATGTTTTATCTTGGTTTTGTATTTAAAGGATTGCAGCAAAAGGGTCGGGGCGATTCTG